CCCCACCCGGTCCCTCAGGGTCACCCCGCGCCGCCCTCCGTGAGACCTCGATGCTCCTCCAGCGACAGCCTGCACAATTCCCCAGGGTCACCCGAGCCCGAGGGCTGGTGATTTGGAAACCAGTCCGGCAGGACCCGGGCCTGCTGTTGGGCGGCCGCATTCCAGGCCTGTGCCATCACCTGGGAAAGGGCTGCGGGCCTGCCTGGGCTCCAGGGGCGGGCGAGCCCCCAGCTGCGCACGTACAACCAAGTTCTGCCTTCGAGAAATTCCGGTTGTGAGTCTCACGAAGCTCAGTATCTGCGAGGCGAGGGCGCGGTCGCGACACTCCAGTCCTGGGCAGCCCTGTGCCCCGCACTGCCCACGCTGGAACCCGGAAAGGGCACCAGGTCCGCGCCAGTTCCGGAGCAGGTCCAGTTCTCTGGGATACGCGTCCTCCGTCCGGTCATTACTGACACAGTGTCCACACGCACACTGACAGGGGCCTTCCTGCACGGGGCAGAATGCACACCAGCCGGCTTACAGAAATAGGTCAACCATATAAATGTCTCAAGGTCACGACTGACATGTGAAAAGGAGTCATGCAGCGTGTCCTTCTGACATTTAGAAACAAATGAGTAGAGACAGAAAATCATCTAGGATGCATTGAAGAGCAGAACACAAGGTCATCATGTTACAAATCTTAAATTTAGTCTGGGTTGCCACATTTTCAAAAGAATGTATAGGATCCATAAAGCGCTCCTTAGGGGGAGGAGAGAATAAAATGACAGAGAAAGATAAATAAGACCCAAGAGTGATGGGGGCGCGGTGGCGGTGAATGGAAAGTCAGGCCTGAGCAGATCATCCAATTTTTCTCCACCATTTAGAAAACCGGAAAGGAAGGGCTGCCTTCCCTACAGCCAGGAAGACAGTCAGCATCACCAAGGGCTGCCCCATCCACCCCAGCATAACGGATCAGAAGTGTTCAGTCCCCTTCCCAGGAGGTAGAAGCCTGGACTCTGGTCTACAGATGCCACTAATTGGCTCTGCTGTCTCAGGTGCAGCTAAGAGCTCCATCCCCAGCTGCAGAATCCGTAGCAAGAACAACGGCCTCTGTACCTCTCCATGCTCATGTTACCAGAACCCACCCCACTATGCCACATCAAGGTCCCTCCACTGTCTTCCGCTGTCCCCATGCCCCAGCCCCCTGGTGCCTTTTACTTCCTCTGCCTTTGCTGTGGGAGCTGAAAAGGACCGTGAGAGGACTGTCAGGACAGTAGCGTGACCAGAGTGGTGGATTCCTCAGGCCGGGCACGCAGGGGAAGAGCAAAAGCTCGCCCTTCCCCTTCTGCAAGCTCTGCTGCTTCCTGGATCCCAGCGGAGACAGGCATCTCCTCCGTCCTCTTCGTCATAATTATTGTCACGAGTGAATCGACTAGAGTAGGCCTGGGAGTGGGCAGCACGGGTCTAGCTCTTGTCACAGGGCCAGCCCCCACTGTCACACAGCCACGGACTTTGCTGAAGACCAAAGTAAGAAATGAATGGGGGACAGGTGTAGTGTGACGAGGGAAATGTGTTCTTTTTAAACAAATTTAAAAAAACAGTGAATGTTAGACTTACATAGGTATTTGATTTTCTCCATTTTTTCACTTTATATGACAAAGACTAATCTTACTGTGTATTAAAGTGTTCTAGTAATGCCTTGGATATGTTATTTAAGATACACTATGATATATTCCACCACGGCAGGCCTTGCTAAACCTTGTTTTCAGACATTAACAGTGTGTTTTATTTTTTATTTATTTATTTATTTATTTATTTTTTGGCACCGGGGATTGAACTTGGGTCCTTGCACTTGCGAGGCAGGCACTGAACTGCTGAGCTAAATCCCCAGCCCTGTGTTTTCTTTTTCTCTCTTCCTTTTTGTTTTGTATCTTTCCTCATTCAGAAAATTTAGATGCTTCAGATTTATTGCACTTGTGTTCCATGATGCAAACTTTGGCATGGAACTCTCAGGCGACTGTCAGCAATGCATACTTCTTGGCTGACGTGAAGATTTTCCACTTTAGTGATCTTTGGAATTCTGAGCAAGGCACTTGTCCAGGGTTAAGAGAGGCAGCTAACTTTGTTATTTGTGTGGCTTCTGTGTCAGCTCAACTTTTTTTTAACCTTGTTTTGCCCAAAGTGATGGGTGTATCCCTTTGCTCCTTGCCGAGGGTTCCCTGACTGATAAATTTTCCCTTGTGTGGGAATCTGAGCTGCTTTCCACACCAGAGGCTCAAAAGCGCCTGGCTGGAATGTCCCCAGCTTGCCAGGGCACAAGGAACCCTCCTCCTGCAGCGTTCCCTGTTGCTTGGATACCCACTCTATAGCTTTGCCCCTGACCTGTCTTTGCTGCCTTCATCAGCTCTGTTTCTAAGCTGGAGACAGGAATTTCTGATCTCTGCCTAGCAGATGAGCATTTTGTGAGAGACTTGCCAGGTAATTTATGTTGTTTACCTTCTTATTTTTAATGAGAATGGGAATGGGAAAACAGTGGTGTGCTAGCAAGTATTTTAGTATCAGGAAGAAGCATGATACAATTAGAAATTTATATAGTAGTCACCCAGGGCTCAAGTCATCTAGCTTTGAACTAAATTGAATTTGAATTTACTCTAGGTAAGATTTTTCTCTTTTTTTCCTTTTTTAATTTTTCTTTTTTTCCTGATTGTTGTTTTGAGACATAGTTTTGCTCTGTAATCCAGGCTGGCCTGGATTCCTTAGGTATCCCACACTAGCCTCAAACTCACAGTGATCCTCCTGCATCAGCCTCTCTGGTGCTGGAATTATAGACGTGCCACCACACGTGGCTAGAAACAAATACAGTTGACCCTCAAGTTATAACTGGCCTGAGAAATGAACAACTTGGGTTATTTAGGTTAATGGAAGATTCATCTGCCTCTTGTTATCTGTAGTGTGTATCCAGGCCAACATCCAGAGCTCAGCTGTATTGACTTACAACCAACTTGAGTTACAACCAACCCTTGGGAAGGGATTGAGTTCGTAAGTCAAGGGTTCACTGTAATGTCTAAGGGCATGACTTATTACAACAGGCACATGAATCCTGGAGCTGGCCTGAGTTCAGAACTCAGCCCTGCCACCCACTGGTCTTAACCAAGCAGTGAAAAACCCTGTGGGGGTTCGTGTCCTGCTGTTTAGTACAGCAATGATGAGGGTAATAGTGTTTTCTTCCTTGCACTCATGAAGATTAAATTGGGTAGTATATGCAAAATCCTGAGAATGGTATATTTTAGATATACTGTTATACAAATGTCACCTATTAATTATTGTCCATTACACTGAAAGTAGTTTTCTCAAGGAGAATAATATTTCACCTCCAAACTCCTTGAAATATCCAGAAGACTTTGAAGATTAAAAGGGTATATGCTAATATTGTTTTGATGAGGTAGATAAAAATTAAGAAATGGGGTGGGGTGACTGTGCAAACCAGTGCAAAGAAAGTAAAGTATTTTGTGCCCTGTCTTTGAGAGATGGTAAGACTGATGAAATTGGCATTTATTAGTATTAACTGGAGTCAGTTACTACCCATGTACCTAGTACGATAATAAATTCCTTATATTTAAATTGCTGAAATCAAAAAGCAAAAATCAAGGTTCTAAGATTCAGAAATAGAAGCCGATCCTGGCTGATGGTGATAAGAAAGCAACTGGGCCATTGCTATCATTTCCACTGCAGGTATCCAGAGTCCCTTGCAGTAAAGGCTTGGTTCTCTTGCAAACTGATACAATCATAAGGAGGGGAGGTGCAGAGGATGGAAGTTAGGCCACTGGGGATCTTGGGGATGTCTCCTGTCTCTGTTTCCCAGCCACCATGTCGCTTGGTCCTGTCATGGGCCCAAAGTGATGGGGCAGAATAGCCCTGGATGGAGACCTCTGAAACCGCGACCTAAAGTAAACCTATCCTCCTTTTAATGTGTTCCTGAGGTGTTTTGTTACCCTGATGGAAAACTAACAACCATTGAATTTTTGTAACACTACATAAAATAATGGCACAATTTTTAAATGATTTAATTGAGCTGACGAAATGGAGTGCTTTGAAGATTGATGATGATATTTGGGTTTTTTTCATTGAGTTTATCGGTACATTTTAGGTATATAGTACAGTTCCATTCATCATTGGCATCTTGTACTTTTACATGACAGGTCTTGGTTCTCATTTTTTCCCCTTGTCCCTGACCTCCCTTCACCCCCTCCTCCCCTCCCCATTTACAAACATTTTATTTCCATTTTCAAATTTTCTCATATTTGTTCCCTTATTACCTTTCCCCTACCCTTCCCACTTTCCCTACACCTTTAGCCCTTTTCTTCCTATTTCACATTGTCAATTATCTCATTAGGATGATGATGATATTTGTAAGGAAGATCACATATCTTAGATTTTTTCAGGTAGTCCAAATTGAATGTTTTTATTTTCAGAGAAATGTATCTATTAATTATACAACTATATATGATTAAATTTTTAAATTTTTGCAAAATTTTTCACATATATATATTTTTATAGCAAAAAACAATTCTTTTGCTGGACTATGTGAAACTTCAATCTGGTTTGGAAAATATAGTCAACATGCATGCTTAAAAATTATATTAATGAATCTGGGTTTTTTGCATATTACAAAGACTTAAGTTGTCCATATTTCTGGTAATACTTATTTTTGCTATTCATATTTTCTCACATTTGTTCTACTTAAAACTATTTTTTGTTATATTTGTAGAGATTTCTCTAATTTGTTCCTAAAATTAACATCCCAAATTATTATGGCGATTAAACTGACCTTATCTACAGAATTGCTTGCACTTAATAGTTTAGTATCGGGTACATTTTTCTGCACTAGTTGATGAATGGAGGGGATGCAGGGACTGTGGTCCCCATACACCTGGGAAGAGCGAAAGCAGTGATATAGATATAGATAGCTAATTTAGGTAGAAATATTGTAGGATGTCTGACAGGGCTGGGCCCTCCAATCAGTGCAGAGGATGAGAACACCTCAAAGGTGCATCTGAAGAAGATTAAAGTCACAATGGCCAGATTTGAGTACTTCCCCAAGGGATGAGATCATTGGCACCACCCTTTTTGACTTTCCCATAGACAGACCATTATCTCATTGGGGGTGGCCCATCCTCTCCCACCCTCTAAGACTAAAATGACCAACAGTAATGATGTCATCGGTATACCTTTTTTGCTATTGGGTCAATATTACCTAAGTGACTATATTTGCAATCTTATTGTTTATTTGATTATACTTTTTATCCACATTCTCTCCTTGACTTTGCTCTCTAAAACTTCCTTTAAACTGGGTATAGTGGCGCACACCTGTAATCCCAGCACTTGGGAGGCTGAGGCAGGAGGATCGCTGTGAGTTCGAGACCAGCCTGGGCTACATAGTGAGTTCCAGGTCAGCCTCAACTACCTAGTGAGACCCTGTCTCAAAAAACGAAACAAATAAAACTTCCTTTGAGAAGTGGGCTCATTGGCAATCCATTTGGGACCCTTTATGTCTCCCAGGAGCTATTCCTATCCCCCAATAAATGTTCCTACTCTTAACATACATTGTGCTGGGCCGGGGATTTGGCTCAGTGCTTCCGGCGCCTGCCTCACAAGCACAAGGACCCAAGTTCGATCCCCAGTACCGGAACAAAACAAAAAAAATCCATTGTTCCTTAGAATTCATTCATTGATTTTGAGGAACATGAGCTTAGTTGATCTTACCTCTAGTAGGTTGGTAGTTATATCTATCTCCCCTCTATCAACAGGAAACCTACAGAGTAAAGACCGGGAGGGAGTGGTTCGTAACCTAAGATGCCTAAGAAATATCTCACATAGTAGTGGCTTTTGTTTTAATTTTGTCTTTTCCTTCCTTGTTTAGCATGTGCGCGCGCGCGCGCGCGTGTGTGTGTATCTGGAGATTGAACTGAGGAATGACTCACAGGCTACCAATGAGCCACTTCCCCAGCCCCTCCGGTTCAAACTGGCCTTGAATTTGCTATCCTCCAGCCTCAGCCTTCTGAGTAGCTGGCATTCACCTTTTTACTTTGATAACCAAAATCTGCTTCATCAATATTCTATGCAGACTGCAAATACTGTTTTTAGGGAAGAAATGCCAAAATGATCTAGTCTAATTAGGTTTTATCACGTTACTTCCAGTACATGTGAGGACATTAGTAGAGCCATGAAATCACCTTGTGCAAAGAGACAAGGCAAAGTTTTAGTTGTAAATCAAATTTAGAAAACTTTGTTACATAACAGTCTTCAAGAGAGTAAATGAATAGTAACAGTCTGCATAGGTGTAAAGAAATCATTTAGCACCATGGGCTCACTGACATATTGGAAAAGAGATTCATAAGTGTTTCAAAATACCAAGAATGACTGTAAACATAGCAGTGTCAGGAAAAATTGGCAAACTTTTGGAATTGAGCAGAAATGATTCCTGACTGTCCTTTTGTGGACTGCGGCCATGCCTAGCTGCCTGCTGGGTATTTGCTGATATCATAGGGATGCATT